TTGTTCTCCAAATGTTTCGCCACTATTTTAGCAACAAAAACCTTGAATTCTGTCTTCACCAGGTGTCAGGATGAAGGAAGATGTGAGGGGAATAGAGCCAGGAAGTCTGCAGATACCATTCCCAGCATCTTGTGTTGCGTTCCCACTCCTGGAGTGAACGTGTGGGCCTCGGCTGGTGGTGCTGCTTTGGAAGGTTGTGGAATCTTCAGAAAGCCAACCTTCACCAAATAAATTGTTTGGGAATATATAAATTCTGTATGGTCCAGGCCTTAAAACACTATATGGCAAATTAGATGGTGATGGAATCTCCCCTGAAATGTGTCAACTGCTCAACTGTTTAATGTTCACTATGTGGAGGTTCCCTTTCCAGAAGCAAGTGTGCAACAGCAAACATTGGTCAATGAATAGGAAGACATCATTCAACAGCAGAAAGAAAGGTGAAAGTATTCATTCCTGACACTAGGTGGCAGAACTATACACCATTTGACTTCCCTCTGGGCTCTGGAGACCTGTAAAAAGAAAATGGTAACTCTCCTAAAAGGAACCCCAGGCCTGTGCCTGGGAGCTTCTGGCCATGAAGGGAACACTTTGCTCATATTTAAAGCATATTTAGATTTTCTGCTTTTTTTTTCTTTAAAGAAATTTGTGCTCAGGAAAACTTTCGCAAGGCCAAGATCTTAGCTTTAGTTTCCAATATTTCATCCCTAAAGAAGGAAAATGAATTCACTAGTTACACAGGTGGCAGAACCAGGAAGCTCTCAGGTCCCCTGTCTGCTTATGCCCAAAAGCACATACCGTGCCCATGTCCAGAAGCAGGTGTAGATTTTGCTTTTAAATTCTGATGACCCCAGCCAGCACCAGCATCTGGGAGAGTGTGGTAGTCAAACCACCTCAAGTTCAAGCCAACTTGGGAAAAGTAGTGAGTTCTAGGCCAGGGCTACAAAGCTGCCCCTGCCCCAACACACACACACACACACACACACACACACACACACACACACACACACACTCAATAACTTTTTCTCTCTCCTCTCGCCTCATGGTGCTAAGGAAGATGGACTCATAAAAGCATTTTACTAGTTTGGATGTAATTCTGTCTGTCCATACAATAGTCCAATGCTCAAAGGGCGTTTAGACAACACAAGTCCTACTCTGTTTCTGCTTTTAAGAGAGACACTCCACATGTTAGTTGCATGTTTTGCCTGTGCCACGTCCTGTTTCTCTTGGGCTACATGTTGGCCTAACTGGTCATTACGATTCATTTCTTTTCTTGCCCAGAAAACATTCTTCTTCCTTCTTTCAGCTTACGGTGCTTCTTCCCGTGGGCTCGCAGCAGAGACAAAGACAGGAGCTGCATCCGCATCCACCCACCTGGTGCTGCTGTCTGTCTGGCTATGCTCCTACGGGGTCTAGAAAGGTGGTATCTGATGACGGAGTTTCTGTTCCACCTGGTCTCGAAGCTCTAACTGACTGAGCTACCCGGGCTGGTAACCCCCACTTAACTATCTCAGTTGTAGAACCAACCTCAACTTCCATCCGACCCTAGGGACAGGCTGGAATGTGTGTTTGCTAGCTGCATCTCATGTCTCCTGAGACAGGAGTGGGCTGACTCTCCCCCAGGAGACATCCCACAGTTGCATGCCCTGCCTGATAGTTAGAGCTGATTTCTCAGTTGTCTTTGAACTCTAGAGTTTACAACTGTGCATTCAAGTTATTGTACTGGCCTTTATTCCAGTACAGGTTTTTTTTAAAAAAAATATTTATTTTACCTTTATTTATTGTTGGGGGTTCTCAGCGACCAGAAGAGGGCATCAGATCTGTGAGCAGGAGTTACAGGCAATTATGAGCTTCCCAACATAGGTGCTGGGAACTGAACTGAATTCCTCTGCAAAAGCAGCAAGCACTGGACACTGAGCCATCGCTCCATCCACAACCCAGTCCCTTTCTTCAAACTTCCCAATTACCCTCTTTGAATTTGGCACCTCTGTTGCCCCAACTCTGAGACAATATATATTATCACTTTCATATTTCCTGCCTTTTCCTTATTAGCAATGAAAATGATAGAGTTGGAGTTTAAGAATAGAGACAAAAGAGCTTGAGTTTGGATGGTGCACTGGACAGTTTTATGTCAAGTTGACCACAGGCTAAAAGCATCTGATGGGGGAGCCTCAGTTAAGCAAGCCTGTAGGGCATTTTCTTAGTGATGGAGTGGAGACGGCTCATTTTACTGTGGGTGGTGACATCTCTAGCCTGGTGGTCCTCAGTTCTATATAAAAGCAGGCTGAGCAAGTTGGGGAACAAGCCCATAAGCAGCACCCTCCACGGCCTCTGCATCAGCTTCTGCCTCCAGATTCCTTCCCTATTTGAGTTCCTGTCCTGGCTTCCTTCATTGATGGACATGTGAGCCTAATAAACCTTTTCCTCCCCAACTTGCTTTTATCGAAGCAATAGAAACCGTAACTAAGACAGGTGGGATGCAGACTCCATCGACTCCAGCTCACAACTCAGTGCTGGCCTCCTGTGTGAACTATGCCACCCTGCTTCCGGGTCACAACTCCGCAAACATTTGCTGGCTGTTGTCAGTTTCCGATCTAGGCTCTGTGTTATTGGTTCCTTCCCCTGTCCCTCCTGTACAGCTCGTTCCGATCCCTCTCCACCTTGGCCGTTGGATACGTTTGTGTGATGGTTGATTCCGGCTGTCAACTTGACGAGATAGATGGACAGATAAGTAGGGAATTAGGAAGGCATGTGTCTGGGTGTGTCTGTGGCGTGTTGCCTCAAACAAGCAGATCCTGAAGGTCTGTGTTTGGTGACAGATTACTCCCGTGACAAAATCATAAGCCTGAGGGGTGCTGAAAGTGGGGGTGGGGTCTAGTTGGAGGGAGTGAGTCGGTGCGGGTGCCCCTGGGGTCTCTATCTCCCTGGACCCCACCTCGCTGCTTCCCACGTGCCATGATGATGTAAGCTGTCCCCGCACCAGCACGGACTGGATCCTCTAAAAATGTGGGCCAAGATGCGTAATCGCTGAGTTGTTTTCTCAGGTATTTGTCACACCTGCAAGGGAATAACGGGTGCAGGCCCTTTGCTGCAGTCCGTTTTGTCGACACCATTGTTTCATCCTTGGGGGGAAATATCCCATCTATAAGGCAGACAAGGTGTGGGCCCAGGGCCTCGCCCAGCTAGGGAGCTGGAGCACTGAGCCTCGAAGACCACAGCCTGAGGAGTAGACAGGAGAGGGGAGGGGACGTCAGAAGTCAGAGCTGACCGGAAGTGTCTGAAGGGATGGAGGGGAGGGGGCGGTTCCTGATGAAAGGTGGAAGTTCACATTCCCATGCTGTCTCCTTCATTAAACACTTCTACTTTTCAGTGTATGTTTTGCTTTTTCTCTTCCATCCCTAGCTTTATTGCTAGAAGATAATTTAGTCATAGAAAATAATTAACATGGAGACTGCAGTAGAAGACAGTGTCTTGGGTACTGAGTCCTCCTCCTTTTCATGCTTAGGTGCTGAGGGCCACAAAGCCACTGATTTTACCACTACTGGGAACCGCAAAGTATGGACCTCAGGCAAATCGGGGGTCCGTAAGTGCAAAGCCGTTTACCAGCGGAGCCAGGACAGAGATCTGACCTTTCCTTCCCACCATTCCCTTGTCTTTTCAGTTGATTTGCTCCACTCTTTTACCACAGATTACAAAACTGAAGTGGAGAAATTCGTTCTCGGTACCAAAGCATAAAGCCAGAGGCTGCATCGGCATTGCACAATTGCCTTGAAGGTGTTGTGGAAAGACAGCTCTGTGCACATTGCATTTGACACAACTTCTGGGGTGAGGCAAACCTGCATCTGAGTCTGGACTTCATAGCATGTGGATTTTTCTCACCAGTGATTTGTTATGGACTACAGAAAGCCTGTCAGGGGGCATTTGTATAGCCCGTGATTCTCAGCTGGAGCTCCTGGGCAGGACAATTTTAATGAACAAAGACATGAAAGGGAACATTCTGGAACCAGAGTCCTAGGAAGAAAGCTCACATTATCAGGGTTGTGAGTTTAAGTCTTCCTGACTGAGGTAGAGCCAGCAGGCAGTCTCTGAGGTAACCTGGTTTAATTAAAGCATGCACTTTTCCCATTTGCAAAGCAGAATTACTGCTTAACCCTTAACTGCACTAGGCCCTTTGCTAAGCCCTGTACCTGCTTCCCATGAGCCCATGCCTCCTTTAGAGACTTGCATGCAGTGCTTAATACAACAACACTGAAAAAGTCGTGATTCCTAACTCCTCTATAATAAGAAGGGAGGCCCAAACTGTTGTGGGATGCTGTTCTCCAGGTATGAATCTTGAAATCAGGACAGCTGTGATGACAGCTGTCATTAGGAGACTAGGACTAATAAATCCCTCATGGAGAGGGGAGAGGAATCAGAAAAGGACACATGGGCCTCACCCCTCCCCAGGACCTATGAGCAGTTAACCCTTTCAAGAGGAAATGGTGTCCCCCTACTCAGTGGCATAACTGCTTGTGAGTTGTCTCTGTTCCTGGAAACAGCCCCTTTCGTGGGGTCCTAAAAGGAATCACAATTAAAATCACCAGTTAAAAATAAGTTCAACTTGAGTGGAGTTGTTTCTTACATGTCACCGATGCCCTGGTGGATTCAGAGATGTTTGTGTGCAGATGGTGTCAGGTACTACAGCATAACTTTTGGTTATGTAGCCACTGTAGCTCAAGCTAGCCTGGAGCTCACTATGAAGTCCGGGCTGGGCTGTAACAGTCCGCTTACCAGAGCCTTTCAAATATGTTAATGTTATTTTATAATTCTACTGCTAATATAATGAGTGTCTGACCTACATTTAAAACGGAGAAGTGTGGATGGCTCCAAAGCAGCGAAACAGGAAAAGTGTAAAGTTGGAACTGCCCCACCCAAAGTGCCCCCTTTTCTAAACACTAATGCTGAGCTGCCCTGCAAGAAAGAAAACACAGAGTAACACACGGGTAATGACCATGTATGTCAAAGAAATCCCTTTCAAATGCTGGGTGTCAAGACTCAGAAAGACCAATCGGGTTAAAAGGGTGGCATCCACAGCGGATGCTCTTGAGAGCAGGCCAGACTCTGGACTCCTCAGATAATCCCGAACTGAGCAAGCTCGTGCAGCTCCAGGTGACTGAATGCTTCCCAGGGACAGATCACTGTGATATCTGTAAGAGACAGAAGAGTGCCTCAGCCATCCCCTCCCCCGGAGGAGGAGACTCTCCTCCAGGAAGAAAAGGCATCCTCCAGTCAGACACACACACACACACACACACACACACACACACACACACACTTTGTACTCTCTTTGGGGAGGAGATGGAAGCTCACTGCATCTCCCAAAAGCTGAGGGACTCTCATCAGGCCAAGGGTTAAAATGAGAAGCGGGGCCCCTTTCAGTTCCCTCAGTCGGGGTGGACTCTTCTCAATAATCCAAGGTGAGATTCTGCAGCTTACTCTTTACTTTACTAGATGCCGGAATCAAACATGTCCTGAGAAGCAACCTCAGAGCATCATCTAGTCGCGCCTCTGATTCAGGGAAGATGGCATTCCCCCATTTCCAGGCAAGCCGGCACTAGCCAAAAAGTACACTTACATAGATTTCCTCCAGTGGAAATCTCTTTGCCTCTTTCCAGTGGAGGAGTTCACCTGTCCTCCTGTACTTGTCTAAATACACCTGAGAGCATTACAAAAAAATAGTATCCAAGAGGGCAACAAGTAAGTAAGTTTTACAAAATGGTGTAATGCCCACCTGAGATCCAGGGCTGGATCTTAAATACACTGGTTACAGTGAGTGCTACCATGTGCCTAGTGTACTAGACAAATTCAAAACGTATATCTGCACAAAACCTCTGACTGTGTGCATGTGCATGCTCCCAAACAAACACACACACACACACACACATACACATACACACATGCACCCACACATGCACGCACTCATGCACCCACGCCCACAAGCATGCGCACACACACATGCTCAAGATGAACACACAGCAATTCTATTCATTAATGCCAATACTTGAAAGAAATCAAGATATCCCTCAATAGAATATACCCATAAAATTAAATATTTAGCAATAAAAATAAAGAAGCTATTGGGGTTGGAGAAATAATTCAGTAGTTAAGAGCACCAGCTGCTCTTTTAGAGGACTTGGGTTCGGTTCCCAGCATCCACACAGTGGCTCATAACCATCTGTAACTCCTGCTCCTGGGGATCTGATGCCCTCTTCCAGCTTCCATTGACACCAGGCACCAATATCCATAAAGGCAAATAAACACACACATTAAATGAAAATAAAGAAATGAGCTATTGAGCCATAAGAAGGCAGAAGACATATGAATAAATATTGCTAAATTGAGAAATGCAGGATAGGAAAGCTAAATACTATTTAATTCAAAATACTATTTAATTCAAAAAAACGTGAAAATAAGTAAGACCCAGTAAGAAAAAATCTTGTGGTATTCAGAAGTGTGCAGTTGGGGAAGGAAGACATTACCCAGTAGAGGTGAGGGAATGCTTGGGACAGCGAAACCAATCTATATTACACAATAATGACAGTTACATGACCTTACAGGATCATTAGAACCCTTAGAACCATATGGTATGAATAACCCTCAAACTATATGTGCTACGGACTTTGGTCAAGGCAGCAAGGGTGACCGATAGTGGCTTCATCACACTTGTCCAATGTGCCAGACTCAAGCATTATGTCCATTACTGGGGACCATAAAAACAGGAGTGGTGGTGACCTTCTGCTCAATTCTTCTGTAAACCTAAAACTGTTGATATTTTTAAAGCCACCTATAGCAATTACCATCATCACCTAAGGAAAGAAGACAGTCCAGCCAACTGAAAGAACTGCATCAGATGCACTAAATGTGTGCGCTCCGTCCTGTTGCTCTGTGCACCCCTGTTCATGGTGCCACGTGCATCCCTGTCCCTAGTATTGGGTGTACCCCGTTCCTGGTGTGGCGCATACTCTGTTCCTGGCGCTATATGTATCCCATTCCTGGTGCTGTGTTCACCCCTGATCCTGATGCTGTGAGTACCCCACGTCCTAGGATGTAAAGAAGAGGAAATTGGGTTTCCAGGCAGAGTGAAAGGGTGTGCTAGGCCCTGCCCCTTTTTCCAATTCCTCAGGCTGTGGCTTCACACTGGCCTCAGATTCCGCTTCTGAAAAATGAAGTTGGAATGGATGGCTTCTAAGAACCACATTTCACAAGCCTACAGCTGACTGAGACATATGCTCAAAGGTTGTTTGATAAAACAGCAGACACTGTTAAACTTCACACTGACTTTCATTTCTTTTAGCATTTTTGCATGTAGGTAGTCACATGCTTAAAAGGTTAAATTAAATCCCCACCTTTCTGTCTTCAAAGGATCACATGATGTGGGTGTTGAAACTTTAAAGTGTCCCCTGAAGCTGGAAGTTTCTGCAAAGAGGAAACTTCAAAGCCACATGCCCTCTCAAAGGTGTCATAGCTCACCTGTTCCTAGCCCCTCCATGCCTGGGATGTCATCTCCAAACCTATACAAAAAATAGATGGATTAAACAGACATTAGCTGAGATCCAAGGTGAAGGACCCTGGAATTACTCCAGGGAAGGGTTCTTCACTCAAAGGAGAAGAAGTTCTAAGAGTTTTGAGAAACTTATATCCACACTGAACTAGACCCAAGAAGATGTCACTCTGTTGGGCGTTCAGTATATCCTTAATGGGGAGTGGCTGTATTTCACCTCTAGAGACATAGCATGAGACAATAGGGTGACCTTGAACCTGAATTGTTGATTCTTCTGCATCTCCAGAGTTTAGAGATTACAGGCATGAGCCTGTTCATGCAGTTCTGGGAGCTGAAAAGAGGACCCCCACAGGCCAGGTAAGTGCCCTACAACTGAGCCCAAGTTTCATTTAAAGATTGTGTGTGTGTGTGTGTGTGTGTGTGTGTGTGTGTGGTGTGTGTGTGTAAGTCTGCCTGTATCTGTGTCTGTCTGCCTGTCTGTGTGTCTGTGTTTCTGTGTCTGTATGTCTGTCTGAATGTCTGTCTGTCTGTGTGTGTGTGTGTGTCTGTCTGTCTGTCTGTCTATATCTCTGTCTGTCTGCCTGTCTGTGTGTCTGTGTTTCTGTGTCTGTATGTCTGTCTGAATGTCTGTCTGTCTGTGTGTGTGTCTGTCTGTCTGTCTGTCTGTCTATATCTCTGTCTGTCTGCCTGTCTGTGTGTCTGTGTTTCTGTGTCTGTAAGTCATCTGAATGTCTGTGTGTGTGTGTGTGTGTCTGTCTGTCTGTCTGTATGCCTGACTGCATGTCTGTCTGTGTGTCTGTCGGCCTGTTTCTGTGTTTGTTTTTCTATGTCTGGCTGACTGTTTGTATGTGTGTGTATGTGTGTTTTCTGTCTGTCTATCTGTGTGTATGACTGTGTCTGTATGACTCTCTGCATGTCTGTGTGTGTGTGTGTATGTCTGTGTTTTCTGTCTGTCTGTGTGTCTATGTTTCTGTGTCTCTTGTCTGTCTGTCTGCATGTCTGTGTTTGTGTGTTTGTATCTGTGTCTATCTGTGTGTCTGTTTGCGCAAACACCATGGTTGTGCTTGTAGAGGTCAGAAGACAACTTTGTGCTGCCGATTCTCTCCTTCCATCTCTATGTGGATGGGCTGTAGGGATTGGACATTGAATACTTGATTGCCTAGTCAGTACCTTAACCCACAAAACCATACTGCCAGCCCTCAATCTTCATTTCTTAAATATGGAGATGACTGAGCGGTAAGACTTCAACATTGGTAATTAATATACTGCACTCTGGGCACATTAGGCCCAGAATATTAAAGAAAAACCAAATTTTCTCTGCGTGATCTTAGTCTGAGTGGAAAGATAGAAATAAATAAATGAAATGCTAAATAGCACATATTTTGGCTGAATGCATCATAATATAAACACAGAAGTGATGATGAAATTTAAGTAGCAGTGAAAGAGAAATTAACATCTGAGGAATGTGATGAAAATCAAAGTTTTCCAAAGAGCAGTAGAGAAAAATGGAGAAACTGAAGAAGACATGAAGATAAACAAGTCAACAATGAAAACTAAACAAAGCCGGTATTCTCTGGAAAAGACCTTTGGTTCAGATTCGCTTGCCACTCTTGCAGAGGACCTGAGCTTGGTTCCCATGTGCAGTATTGGGCAGCTCCCAAAAGCCTGTAATTCCAGTTCAGAGAGCCCAACGCCCTCCTCTGGCGTCTTCTGGAACCTGCACCCAAACACATATACCCACACAGAGACATACCGTACGTACACATAATTAAAATATGTTTTTTAAAAAACATTTTTCAAAAGACTGGGCAGGAAAAATCTGGACGGTCAAGTCAAGGACATTGTGAAAAGCTCTGGTTTCCTTTTGAAACTGGCCAGGCTCCTGGGGGCTTACAGGAAAATGACTCCAGGGACACGGAGAGGATTCTGCAGAGATGGGTTAGAGGGGAAATGGAGGGCAAGGTGGACGGTTCTGAGAGTCTCCGTCATAGCATGATCGGTGCGCTCTCAGAACTAAAGCTCTCTGTGGAAACAGAAGGCGGCAGCCCCTTTCCTTTACGTCTCACACTTACCCTTTCACACCTTTCTTGGGAGGCTTGCTCTTGAACTGTCGAGTCTGCCTCTGCTTGAACTTGGGGGGACCTTTGCGTGGGGTAAGAGGACCCTGGCTTGGTGCCGGAGGGCTCAGAGAAGTGCTGTCACTCATCTTGGCAGGCTCTGGATGGCTGGTGTTTTGCTTTCCGGCTTGCTGGAGAGCGGAAGGAAATGAAGATCCTCGGAGTCAAAGGGACTGTTAGCATGCCTTTGAGCTCTTTGAGCTTGGCATGTTGTGTTGACACAAGCAAACCAGGAAATTTGTTTTTAAGAAAATACACTATAAATAATGAAGGTATTCAGTAGAGTACAATGGTCTGTCAACTAAGAGATTTTTGAAAATAAAAACTATAGATTTATGTTGGCTGGGGATATAGCTCAGTTAGTTGGTAGAGTGTTTGCCTAGAACATTCAAAGCACTGAAAAACCAGGAATCCAAGTACTCTAGAGGTAGAGGCAAGTGGATCCTGAGTTCAAGATCATTCTTACCTATATAGCCAATTTGAGACCGATCTCAGATACATGGGACCTTGTCTCAAACAAAACAAAAAAACTTGCTATCATACAGTCAAAAAAAAAAAAAAAAAAAAAAAAAAAAAGGAAAATCTGATAGTATCTTATCATAATATCATATTTCCCCTTAAGGAATCCCATGAAAAGAAGGGGAATTAACGGAATGACATGAATGATCGGAACAGTTATAAATGTTTGGAGCTTTATATTTTTCATCCAGTTATGGACTAGCCTAGAAATTTCCTACAATTTTCTCTTTGCTTGGTGTTCTTTGCTTCATCCGCACTTAACTCAGAGACTCTTCACTTAGTTCTGAGGGGTGACAAGGCAGCCAGCTGGACAGAAGGACTTCTGAACTTTGGACAACGATAAATATATTCAGTATAGCCTGAAACAAACATGCAGAAATACAGGAACAGACCGCAGAGGCTGGCTAATACTTTAGTCTCTAACTTGGCATTTAGATAAAGAGCTCATCAGCCACACATCTCTCAGATGTCTTGTATATTGTCCCTTGTGCAAACCATGAGCCTATCCAACACTCTATACCCAGAGTAATTTGGCCCCAGACATATGCATCACTCTATAAACATAAGCCACAGGGAAAAAAAATCAACAATGGTAAACACAAAATTAAAACTTCGAAGCTAGAGAGATGGCTCAGAGGTTAGGAACACTGGCCGCTCCTGCAGAGGACCAGGGCTCAGTTCCCAATATCCACATGGCAGCTCACAACTGTCTGTAGCTCCTGTTCCAGGGAATCTGACCTCTTTTTCTGTCCTCCAAAAGCAGCAGGCATGCATATGGTACACAGATATACATGCAAGCAAAATACCTAGGCACATAAAATATAATACATCTTATGCTCTATAAGTTTTAACATTTTTTCTGCCTTTTCTTTCTCAATATTCAAGAAAGTTTACCTTGGAAAGGAAGGTTGCAAAAAACTCCAAAGAACTCACGAATAGGCTTAACCTCTTCCTCTGAGGCAACCGTTTCCATGAGCTAGTGTATGGGAGCTCCTTTGCAGAAGGCGTCTTAGTTGTTAGCCTTCCACAGATTACGCTGATGCTCTTAGCCTGTCCCTGACCCTGTCGCGGTTGCTGTCCACCTTTAACTTGTTATTTACTCCACTAGTTCCTGCGAGTCCCCCTAATGTTACATGTGTGATTTCTACTTCATGACCTTTTCTTGGGATTTTCAACACTACTTGTCCTTATTTCTTTTTCCTATCATGGTTACCATTCTTGCCTTTTGGTTCTGAAACTGTTCAATAGGCCAGTCTGTGAGTAGTGCTGGGAATGAACTAGACCGCTCTGCTGTATGTTGTTCCCTTCATCTTTATCCCTACTAGAATGTCCTTCGTGTGTCTGCTTTTTCAGCTTGGGGTCATGTCTATAGCCTCAATACCTACCATAGTCGTTGGCACATAAGTGAGCTTGCTATAGGTGCTGTGTTTGTTGAGCAGGCTAATAAATTACTGAAGGGATTCGGGGAAAGCCCTTGACTGTGGGTGATGAACTCTGACCTCATGACTTTTCCATCAGACCACAGAGAAAAACAGTAGCTGGCCCCACCTCACAAAGCCCTCCGTGGCTTTGGGGAGGACAGTGCCAGCCCATCTTGATTACTGGAACTAATTCTCATGCAGTGGATGGACTTCCTTCGCCTCTGTCAACAGGAAAGGTTTGTGCCTCTCCAAGGTGCGGTTGGAAATCCAGGAGGTGTGGCGGGCAGTCAGCCAAGGGCACCACTGCTCTTAGCACGTGTGACCAGTGACTGACATCACTGCTGTGCCAAGGCCACAGGGGGAACTGGAGAACTGATCTCAGATCAGACTCTTGAACTTTTCAATTCTTTCAATTAGTAATAAACCACGAATACCCAACCCCCAAGCAGGAAGAGTGATTAGAATTGAGATCCCAAGATAAGTAACAATTTTGGAGTGAAAATGTATTTAAAGTTTTACCTATGGAAGATTATTTCAAATTAGCTGAACATTTTATATTTTATCTGGAAACTATTGTATTGGAGACAGAGTTCAAAATGTGAAGGGTTATAGTAACTTTCACAAGTCAAATCACCCTCTGGTGGTAACAGCAGAAAGAGTGAGTTCTTTAGAACCAATTATATGTGTAGTTTAAAATTCTTGCTCCACAAACCTGACCATGTGTTGTTAATGAGTTTCATGAACTTTCTGGGCCCCACTCCATAAAATGAATCAAAGAAATAGAGAAGCTGATATAAGTATTGTATCTGACACAACATGTTTAAAACCAGGCATTCTATACTAGATTCTTAAGAAGCAAAGAAAACCAGGTGAATAAACCTATATATAGTTGCCACACATGTTCACCTCTGGAGTCCTCTCTTCCTCAGCCAAGTGCTGAGGAGTCCCTTCCCTGCAGTGGAGTAGACTGTCATCAGCCCTTATTGGTGGTTCCTTCAAATGCCCCAACTATTAATTTATTCCCTGATCTCAAAATTCTGCTTCTAGATGCCTTTTGGATCCCTTGGTCTTCTCATAGCTTACCTCAGAACTTAAAAATCTTACTTAATGTTTACAAACCCTCATCATACTTACTCCTTGGCATAAACTTCTCTTGCATGTTTGCATAGTTTTGAGTGTGTCCATCGAGGCTTCGACTCTACCCAAGTTTAATGTGTTATGTGAGAAGGAATCGGGGCTGGAAAGATGGCTTGGTGCTAAGAGCATGCACTACTCTTCCAGAGGACCAGAGTTTAGTTCTCAGCACCCACCTTGGGTGGCTCACAGCCACCTGGACCACCAGCTCCAGGGATATGCAATGCTTTTTGTCTCAAACATCTGTGATCTCCAGTATCCATGAGCACATGCAGCAACATGCACATACTCACATGCGCGCGCGCGCGCGCACACACACACACACACACACACACAGAGAGAGAGAATTAAAAATAATAAAAATAAATCCAAGGACTCCTCACAGAAGTCTACAGGAGTTGTCAGGCTGAACCTTGCTTGGTGTTTGTTCTGTGAAGGATTGCAAGTCTATGAGCTTCATGTAGATGCCACAACTCAGAAAGGCTGAGGAATACGACTGATCCTTACAATTTCGGTCACAGACTCACCTTCTAGGTCTGTGCAAAGCCATTGGGAAGACCAGGACAAACACGATTCATTCTTTCCTTGGAAGAGAATCCTGTTGACTGCAGACCTCACCAAAGGCTAAGCTCACCCTGGCTGTGCTTCCTAGGGAATGTGCTTCCCTTCTGTCTTGGAGCTGAGTGTGCCCACTCTGAATATCAGACCTGGCTGTAGTTCTCACTGTGTCTCTCCAAGTGTCCAGACATCCATTATTTTGTGAGAGAACCTATTTTCCTGTGTTTAATGCAATGCTTACTCTTCCTATTTCTGAGATTACAAAATGCTTTCCTTAGAAAGAAGTGGATACAGCAAAGTGATGTGTCCAGGCACAGTGTGTTAGCTACCCGAGGATATGTAACATTAAACCCAATGCTTAACTGCAGATTTATAGAGGACAGTCTTTTGTTAGACCTCACCAAGGAAGAGCAGTTGCAGAAGGATTGACACAGGCTTTCCAATGCTGCTTCATCACCCAAGGCCTCCACATCCCCTCAGAAAGGATATATATAAAGATGGACACACTCATGGCTAATGAACTGAAAGGTAGACATGGGCACTTCCACTGATGGGTGAGGCCCATAAATGTTACCAGGGTTTCCCTGAGACAGAGAGAATCAAAAAAGTTAAAGATCCAGGAAAGAAGCAAGGCAAGGCCACTAAAAGATAATCCAGCATGTACCTCGCTTCAGAATAGAGCAAACATTTTAACCTCAGAGGGACAAGGCAACACCACCCACACTGCCCTGCGGCCGGCCACCTCATGCTGCTGTCTCCTCATCCTCACACTGTCCCATCAGCCCCAAGCTCACCCTGGGAGTAAAGAACTATTTGTGCTGTGGTTGTGTAACAGCCCAGATCCATCCTTTCCCAGAAAACTGTTTACCAGGAAGCCACAAACAGGGAGGGTCCCTCTAGGTTCCTTGTGAACAGATTCAGTAATCAAGGTTTGCAGTGAACTGGTCATAAGCTACGGTTCACGCCCATAAACACAGTCCTCTTCTTGTATGTCTTCGCTTTACTGCCTGATCAACCCTCCAAAATTCTTTAGTTAGCTACGATTGTGCTCAAACTTACCAGGAGTTAATAACCCACAGAGCTGAACGCTGGTCCAGCAAGTCCTCCAGTTCCTTTTTCCACAGCAGACAAGAGGATCTTTGCATCCTGTTTTATCCCGCCTGCCACTTAAGCCTGATGTCATAAGCTTAGAACACTGAACAGATGCAAAGAAGATGGGAGGAGATTCGGTGGTTTTCTGATAAAGACTCTGACCAAGTGACAAGGGCATCCTCCAGCGTGAGAAACATTAAGTTCACATAACACAGAGTGTGGATGACCCTTCAGTTTTTGATCCAATATGATCCAATGTGTTTCTCCATTACTATGTTTTGGCTTTTACTAAGCCTATCCTTCCTTTGCATTCACACACACACACACACACACACACACACACACACACACACACACACACACGATTCTTATAAAGCTGTAGATGACTGGAGAAATCGAGT